TCATTAAATATAAATGGTTATATTTCATTAATCTTAACAGGAACATATACGAAATAGTCAGATTCTAAAATCATGATTATATTTATTCAAATATGAAAAACCTTTTTTTTCTCATATACTAAATATGCACCAGAAAAAATAGAACACATTAGACATATTCAGATTATAAGAAAAAAAAAACATATGCATAAAACATATGTGGGTGAAAGTCAACGGGTATCACCGAGATAAGAGTCAAATTACATATATAAACAATTAACACAATAAGATTAATAATCGGCAAGTATGTAATATTAATAATAATAATCTGACAAGAAAAAAGATAGAAGTTTTAATTAATAAGTTGAATTTTATCACGACGAACAAATATTCCATGCTTATCTTGACATTTAAAATAAATATGTCCATCAAGTGAACCATTATTTTTTCCTAAATTAAAATTAGTTTTTATTTTTAAAAATAAAATAAGCAAAAATATTTAACATACCAACTGGTTCATCAAGTTCAATTCCATACCAAATACCTGTTTTAATAGACATTTCTCCAATAAAACGAATAGTACCCGATTTATTATATATAGAATGACCAGTATTTACAATCACACGTGAACCAATAGTATAGTCTTCAATATTATTATTATTATTATTGATTATTGGATTTGGAGATGTTTCAATAGATTGACTTGATAATATATTATATTTTTGTTCAAGTGTATTTTCATTTTCTTGTGGTCTGTTATCATCTAAATCAATTATATGTTTTATTTGAAATGTTGATGTTTGTATAGGTTGTAATTGTTCTTCTTCAATAAATAATGAACGTGATATCATACTTGGTGTTGAACTATTTAATTCTGATTGACTTAATGATAGCATTGTTTCATTAGGAATAGTTAATATTTGGTTATCAATATATTCTTGTTGAGTATTCATTGATGAATGAAGTACATTCTATAGAAATAGAATGATTATAAAAATATTAAATATAATTATTGAATTATCTATGTAATAATAGATACATCCTCATTTATCAATAAATAATATGTAAATTATATTTCACATTTCAATAATATTGAGATTTTACTACAAGCTTTCCTTTTTGCATTACAATTATTTATAATACTCAGATATACACCAATCATATCGAAACTACTAACGGGTGGTCCGAAAGTTTCCGCACAAAATGTTTCTTCATTTTTCGACCGACTAAGTATGTCAGTAGAAACTTTCAAACAATGGATTAGATTCAGAATTTATGCTCCGAATTTTTGTAGGACTCATAGTTTAGGAGTTATGAGCGAATCTTTGGAAGGCTCAGAAATAAAGTTTGGACGGAAGCAGTTGAATTAACAGATCCAAAGAACCAAAATGTGATCGTATGTCTTTTGGAATTGATTTTCTGCTCTTTTTCCCCAACCTTTCTCGGCACTATTTTACTCCCGTCGTAAAGATGTCCAATTTACCTTAGCCCAAGTTCCTTTTCCTTGATTACATCGCATTTTGAAATTTTTTTGGATCATCATCTTGACAACATACGTCCTTCTCAACAATAATATCCCTTATTGAATTTCTTCTATTATTAATTTTTTACACAGCGTCAAGGGCAAGTTCGTTCTTTACAAAGTATCATTTTGTAGAGAAATGTTTACTCTTTCTTTGAGGATATCTGAAATAAATTTTACGTTTACTTTGGACGTTTTTTTTGTGCACTGAAACCTGTCCAAACTTTATTTTTAAGTCTTCCAAAGATTCGCTCATAACTCCTAAACTATGAGTCCTGAAAAAAATTCGGAGCATAAAATTCTGAATCTAACCCTTTGTTCGAAAGTTTTCTACTGACATACTTAATCGATCGAAAAATGAAGAAATATTTTGTGTGGAAACTTTCGAACCACCCGTTATTATAACTTAATACATTCATTCACGAGAGAATTTTGTTATACTGTCAATGGATTATTAACTTGAAACTATGATTAATGAGTGAATCATTTAGATCAGAGGACATAAGGACGAACAAAAAGAAAAAAACCAAAAACATAATAAGAATGAAAATCTAGATCTAACCGTATTTCTTTGTTGACGTGTAATATTTGAAACACTTGTTGCTTTTCGAACTGTTTGTTGTTTTGCAGAATTTTCTGCTAATAATACTTCCTAAAGAAAAAAATGTGAATATTTTTTTTCGTTTTTTTTTGTAAATTAAATTACTTGTCTTAATTTATCAAGTAATAAAACTGAATCAATTTGTGAACTATATTGAATATATTTTTCAATATTATCATCTGAACAACATTGATCATCAATTTTTTTTTGTTCTTTAATATCATGAAGATTTTTTGGTATATGTGATACTATTTCATAAACAATACTTGTTCCTTTATGTGTTTTCTATAAATAACATAATAAAAGATTATTATTATTAATAATAATGAATTTCTTTTTTTTTACATAGCCAAGAAAATTTTTAAGTGTTTTTTCAGGCCACCATCCTTCTGTTTTACTAATTGTTATAGCAATACGTTTACGTAGAATAAGTTCCATATGAACTGGTTGAGAAATCATTACAATAATTTTAACAATCAAATAAATAAGTGTATCGTTCGGTGTAACTTGATTCCTAATTATTTAAAATAAATATTTTAAAACAAAAAAAAAGAAGAAATTTACATTGTATCGGATTCATGAATTGTTGGATCCCATTGAGCAACAGCACGAATCTAAAAATGATTAAATTATATATTCTAATATGATTTAGCTTAATTATATTACTTCATCAGATGCATTTTGAATTAATGGTAATTGAAACATTCGAGTGTTATTTTCTTCATTTAATATTGCTTGAAGACCAGCTATATTATTTGATGTATTCATATCAATAGGATCAAGATTTAGAAATATAATTGGACGATGTATTTCAATTGTTGATGGTGGATCCCAAGCAGCTGGACAACCTGAAGAAGTAAAATTCTAATATGAATGTGTATTTCAGAATAAATTCCACTAAATCTTAATATCTTTTTCTTTCATAAAAAAAAAAAAATTCTTTTTATACTAAACGAATAGAGATTTTCAAATTCTATAAAAAACTATCGATGGTAAATTTTAAAATTTTCATATTGATTGAATCTTTCGATTATGATTGTAAATAAAATAAATAAATACTGACGAATTACTAATGAAGACTCGACCGAAATTTCATACAAATCATTTTCAAGTAAAACTGTAAATTACACCGCTTTGTTGTAAATCAAACTTCTATATCCCATTGGCATAGTAATCAATCATTTATAGAATAGATCTAGCTTTTAAAAACATAATTTTTTCCAAAAATGTATCGAAAAATAATGATAATTGTCAGTGTTGAACCTTTTTGTATCATCAAGAACGAGAAGCAAAGACTTCTATGAATTATTAAATTTTGAGTAGTAAATAGAAAATCATATTTGAATGACTGAGTAAACATGAATATTTTAACTGTTTGGAGTCAATGGTATAGACACTTTGTATCATCTGACTAGTGCTTGCTCTAAATTAAATTGCTATGCCTTGTAAAAACATAAAAGTTAAGAGATCGTTTCATCTGTCGTCTACTAAATACCCTATTGGAAGTAGTGAACTTAAGATATCCGTGAACTCGAATGATTTTCAGTAGAATATCGGGAAAAAGTATTCTGTTGTCTGTCTATCCTAGGAACTTGATCGAGTACTTGTTGTATGTTTTCATTCCAAATACTGAAAGAGTCCGTGGAATATATTGGTTGCAGGATATAGAGAAGTATTTTCATTAGGGTATCTATTTCTCTCTCTCTTTTAGTCATAAGTTTTTTTTTGTGTGTAATTAATTATTTTGAGTGCGATATAATAAATTGATTGAAGTATTATTTGTCATTGACAGAATAGTTTCGGTTCGAAAGGAGAAATCTTTTTTAATCTTTGAAAGTGAGAGAAAAAGGTAGCATTTATTTTGGAACATCTATTTTCTGATACTTTCCCACAACTGCACATTCTCAGTACTAGAAGCAAGCAAAAATTTGCAATTAAATACCGTTCACAATGTATTTTATTAGTCACGGTAAAGAACATCATCGTGACCTGCTAAAAAGGCTCATCCAAGATGATCTTTTTCTATAATTTATTAATTCATGGGATAAGAAATAAACGCGCACAATTTAGAATAAGGAAATGCTCACATAGAGAGGTTTTATTATAGTTTCATAGTTGTGACAGTCTCGGATGAAGATGTTTACTTCCTTTTCAAAAAAAAAAAGTAAGCAAATCTTATGTATTCTAATTTTGAAACTCAACTTCATAGTTCTATTTTAATATTAATAAAAAAATAAAAGCAGTTCTTTTTCGAGAACTATGCTAAATGACAGTTTCTTTTTTCCGAAGACTAGAACAATTATTGAATAGAATTATTACATTAATCGAAGGAGAAATAGCAGGCTTCAATAGAAATGTAAGCTGCCACACGTTTAGGGTGTAGGAGCTGTCAATCTCTGATTGTAATTGAAAGGGAAGATTTTTTTTGTTTTGTTTTCGTTTTTGAATATTAAAAACTAAAATTTAATTTAAATAATTTACCTGGTATTCCACTACTCGGTGGTGGAAATAATGCAATATTACGTTCTTCAGTTAGATGTATAAGTTCTTCAAGTAAAATACTTTCTCTATGAATATCAATTGGTGTTTTATCTAAATAATAAAAGACAAACAAAAAAATGAATTTTCATTATTTTAGTTTACTTGTTTGTTGATTCAATATATTTATTTGTGATTCAAGATAAATTTTACGTTTTTCAATATAATTTAACCATATAGATCTTAAATTTTGTAAATCTTCATCTTGATATGAATCTAATTGATATGGTGCATGTATTTTTCGTGTACTTATTGAACCAATTTCAACAGATCGTATTTCATGAAATACTAATGGCATTGGATCTGATCGAGGAATTATTCGTAATTGTACAACAAGACGTTTTGATTGACCCTAATATTACAATAGATTTCAATGTAATAGTAGAATTTCTTTTTTATTTTATTTTATTTTGTAATCTAAACCTGTTTTAATCGATAAATACCACCACTAATAATTTTTTCATGTACATCAACTTCAACTGGTTTCCATTGTCCTAATGAATCTAATTCATGAATTTCAACAGAAAATTTTACATGTCTTTTTACATCTTTCCAATATTGACTTATTTCTTGAATTAAAATATTACGTTGATTAATTTCATTATTTTCTTTTATATCAATTGATTGTAATTTTGTATTATATTGATACCAAATTTCAATTGATACAACACTTTCAAAACATGTAGAAAGAAAATTATCAGTTATAGGAAACGTATATTCCTTTAGGATGAAGAAAATAAAATAAAAAACAAATCAATATTATTAAATTTATCAATTAATTTTATATTACATTTTCATGATTGAATGAAAATACATATGATTGTTGTTCATTATCATTATTCTTAAAAGATTTTTGAGAAAGAATTGTTTGATCTAATTTTGGATTTATAAATGTATAACGACACATAACATATTCAGCATCAGATTTTGGTAAATCTCGTATTTCTTTAATTGCAAACTATTAATAAATAGTATTTTTTCTTTTTATCTTATTTTAGAATAGAAAATAAATAACGTACTTTAATTGTTACTTCATCATTTTGACTATTTGATAGTGTTGATGAATCATCAATACCTTCATCTTCAAGACTATGTTGACTGTTACTAGTATTCCTGAAATTTATGTCATCAGTATCAATACTAATGCCATCATGTCTATTACTACTAGATGTTGTACTATTAATTTGAAGTTCACTAAATTTTTTCATTGATGATAAACCTGTTTGACTCATAACAACATGAAGTGAGCCGGACATCTGTTAATGAGAAAAATTGAATAATAAGAATTTTGAAATCTTTTAGACTTGATGACAATAAATCTTGGAATGATTTTCTTGAAGTTAAGATGTAAAGAGTTAGAAAATTTTTTCTCAGTCAAGTTACAGAATAGTGTCCTGCAATTGGATCGAGTTCCGAGTACGAAATCATGATTTTGTTTGACTAAAAGAATTCATTTACAAATAATGAGGAATCATATGAAAAAGTAATTGAATACATTATCAAAACTTTAAAGATAGAATCAACGAATCAAATCTTGTAGATAACTAATTGTGATTCTGCTTAGAGATTTTTTAGATATGAAAAAAATAATGTTATAATGACCATATTATCGAATATATACAGGATGAGCACTACAATTAAAAAGAAAATTATATGTGTAACGTTTCATAGATAATTTTCAGTTGTCGTCTTATTATTCTCTTAGATAACGACTAAAAAACATATATGAAACTCTTTTTGTCTTATATAAAGATAGCCAAAATTTCTTTAGTGAAGTCAAAAAAAATATAATTTGACATTAATATTTATTTACATTATCTGTATGAGGAAAAAATAACTTTAAATAAGCTACTGTCACTAATCAAAAAAATTAATCCATTCGAGTGAATTGAAGCGGAGATATGTCTATTATTTTCTTGTATTGCTATTTATGATCCACTATGTATATAGAAATGTTTTTAGCTTTTATTTTTTTTTACAATTCATGATTTTTCTTATCTTTCAAGGTTCTGAGACTGTTTCGTTTGTTGTCGATTTCGAGGTATTATGTATCACACAATCGCATCCCGACATAAAAATCACCAAAGATTACCTTCTATTATAGCTTAGTTTTTTCTGACATTTACCAACAGTTTTTAAAGTTATTTCTTACTCAAAATAAAAATGGATTTCTAAGTGTCTAACTTAAAAATCCAGGATCTTTGATTCTGGAATGGAGAAAATTAATGTGCAGCAGATTTACTAGAAAAGACTGTGAAAATCATAGGATCAGTAAATGAAAACTCTAGTCCCATGGATGATTAGATAATTGTTTTTATTAAACTATGAAAGGCCTTACAAGGTGTGTCGCTACAATCAATGATAATGGTTTATTTTTTTTTATATTACTTCTCCTTGTGTATTGATAATCGGTACAATATAATCAAGTTTTGAATCATAAAATAACGCTTTCAGATAAATATTTGCAATACCAATAAAACTATTTGATTGTTCATCAAAAAATGGATTATTTCGTTTTAATTCTTGTATTAAAAAATCTGTCTAAATAAAAATGAAAACTTTTTATCTTTTTAAACAAACAAAAAAAATTCTTACTTTATTTTCAGATATTATCCATTTTTTATAAAGATTTTTCATATGATTTAATTGAGATTCAAATGTTTCTGTATCCCATATTTGTAATGGTAAATTTTTTCGTTTGATTTGTATAACTGGTAAACATAAATTATCTATAGACTTAAAAATGATAAAATAATTTTTTTTTGTTTTTTGAAATTTTATAAAATAAACATACACGTTCATTTGGTTTTAAATATGAAATAGATATTTGTAGAATAACATTATAGTTTATTTGTCGTTGCATTTCATCAGATATTGTATTAGCTTCAGATACAAGTGAATTAATACGTATAAATTCTTGTTTAAGATGATCAATAAAAGTTTGACGTTGTTCAGATTTATTTAAAAGTTCATTTGATAAATACCATTGTGAAAATAATGAATATGAATCATTGTTTTCATTATTAATAGTTGATGAATAACTGTTTAGATGTATTAATTGTTTTTGAAGATATTCAATTTCTTTTTCATAATTACTTTTATTTAAATTTAATTCTTCTATTATTGAATTTGTTGATAATTGATTAGATCGTAGATCATTTTGTGTAGTATTTAATGATGAATGCATTATTTTGTTTTTAATAAAAATTAAAGTTTTATCTAATAAATAATTTAAAATAAACAATATAATTTTTTATTATAATTAAAATCATATATTTCTTATTAATTCAGTTTTTTTAAATGTAACTTTTACTGTCCATGAATCTATCTATAAAAATCTACAAAGAGAATCTTCAATAAATGAAAACGGCAAAATCCATTCCACTATTCGTTTCTTATGATGTCAATGAAAAAGGTTGGTTATAAGACTAACCAATGAAAAAATAAATTCTTTTTAAAACGATTCATCTTTTTTCTTTTGTGCTTCTATGTCTACCTATAGATAATTTTTTTTTGTTTTTTATTTTACATATTTAAAATATAGTTGTTGACATAGATTTAATATCTATATATTACATTATATGATAAAATGGCGTCTGACGAATATCAAGCACGTGCACTTTATGATTTTGTAGCTGAAACTCCAGCTGAACTTAGTTTTACTGCAAATGAGATTCTTATATTAACTTCAACACCAGCTGACAATCCATGGTGGTAAGACAAAATTATTATTTATTTAAATATTATTTTACTTTTTGATCATAAAATATAAAGGTTTGCTCGAAATTCTTTTGGACAAACAGGTACAATTCCATCAAATTATGTGGAAATAATCTATGATGAACAAGAATCAACACAACAAGTACCAACATTTCAAGATATAAATTTTAATTATGCTCCAATTGATAATACTTATCTTCAATCAACATCAGAAGTAACTTATCAACCACAAATTGAACAAGAACAAATACAAAATACGGATCTTACTTCAATGAATGATTGGACAACAGATTCAACTTCACAGGTGTACGAAGAACCATTTGTAAGTTTTCTTTTTTTTTTTTTAAATTTATATTCCTCATTACTTTTATAATAGTTTAATGATCAACAAATAAATATAGATAGTTCTTTCAATATATTATCATCAACAACAAATAATGATAATGCAACTCATTTTGTACCTATAACATCTGTAATATCTGATCCATATATAACAGTTACAGATATTCCAGTATCACAAGATTCATCATCGTTAACATCTCATAGTTCTTTACAACAAAATGTTACAATGCCTTATCAATCCAATCCATGGTATACTGATCCTACAAATACATTTACACCAATTTTATCATCAAATTCTTCAATACAACATGATTTAACACCTTCATATGGATATCTACCAACAACAAACATAGAAAATAAACAACAACAACAACAAATTTCATCATTGGATGATTTGATGTTTTCATCACAAGTACCAAAATCCGATATGATTTATGATGTACCATCACAAGTATTTAATTCTTATTCATCTGGAACGATCATGTCACAAACAATGCCAATAGACGATAGTAATTCGAATAATCCTCCTCCTTCTACAATTAAACAAACATCGCCAGAATCAAAATCTGAAGAAGTTACAGCATCAACACCGTCCCCAACCAATGCGAAAAACAAATTTTTTACATTGAGACGTCCAAAATCAAAACAAGAAGGAGAAAAACGATATTCATTACATGACATATCATTAGAAGTGAGTAATTAATAGACTATAACTGAATATCTATAATTAAGTCTTTCGAGTTATTATTAGAGGTATGAACCGCCGCCATCGAAATTCTTTTTTAATCTATTTGAATCATGAAATTTCTTCTTAACCTTTTCGTTTGTTTATATATACGAAAAATAAATACTCTATATTCAGAATAATAGAAGTGCAAAGCATTTTTATTAATGTTAGCGATTCAAGTTTGATTTTTATCTGAATCTATCACCCGATATAACAAGTTTTTATCAATACAATGAAAGCCATTTTTACTCTAATCAAATCACTGAACATACTAAAACAATAATTTATTTATTATTGTCTATGTTACTTGCGCAAAAGAACGAATAAAATGTTAGATATTCAACCAGTTTACTGCAAAGGGTGTCAATTTCTGGTTCTGTTCCCAGATGCCCCTACCGACTTGATACAGATTCAAAGAATAAACACATCCACAAGTCTCAATATAATCAGAAACGTGTGGATTCGCATTTCCAGGCACGGAGACACAGACCAAGTTGCGGATTCCCGAGAATTCGAAGCCTGGAGCGAGTTTCATTCCTAGGAATTAGGGAACCCATACCGACTTGATACAGATTGAAAGAATAAGTATGTCCATAGGTCTCAACATAACCAAAAGCGCATGAAAACAAATTTTCAAGTGGATTTCGTTCCTTGGGAACACGAGACTCCGACACCCTTAGCTTCGATAGGTAAAAATTTAAACAACAAGATGATTGTTCATTCTCAATGGAAAAGGAATTAGCGTTTACATGAATACATGAGACACAGGCAATATAATAAATTCTTATTATCAATCTATCGAGTGATAGAAACCCAGCAAATTTTATATTCCCTTCCTGTTTTCTCTAAGCCGCTATACAACAAAAGCTATAGAATCAAAACAACAGTTTGGACATGAATCAAAATTAATTTTTTGTAGAGATTGTCTTGCAGACTCTATCGTTAAAGACTAGAATGGGCAAGTTTTTTGGTATCTTGATATATATATCACTTAGGTATGTCCATCCTTAAAATCATTGAATCTCTTAATATTGAGCAAAGTTGTTTAGTAATTCATTTGATTAAACTAAATTATTATTAATGAGATATTAACAATAAACAGGCTTTTATTATCATCTAAATCATTATTTAGTTTCAAAATTTTCAGCTACTGTCACCACCGATCAACCCATTGAGTTAAACATCTAGTTGTTATCAATTATTTGTTATATATATTATTGAAGTTTTATAATTTTTTTTTTCCTAGTCATCACAACGGCAAGCAAACGATGAAAATAATGCGTTGAATTCCAGTGCTCCAGGATCAACACTACAAAATACAGTAAAATATGATTTCTACGTTTTTTTTTATTTCTCACTTCTTGATTTTTTGCTTTTCTGTTTTGATAAAATAATAGAAAAATAAAAATTCGTAAGTTATTTTTCAGCAATTAAAAAACTCTGATATAATACACAAAAACTAACCGGTTAGTTGTTAACATTGAATTCTTATCGTATATATATTCGTTATCTTATATAATGAAATGCACTTTTATTTTTTTGTCTTATGGTTTTGCTTATATATTAACATTTGTTTTTTTTTCAAGAAGGCAAAAACAAAAAAATTTTTGTTTACTTTTAGTTATCAAATTCAAACAAATTACCTAGTGGAGAAGGTGATGCTAAAGGATCTGCTCCACGTGCAAGGTAACAACAAATTTATTTGTCTATGAAATTTATTGAATTATTTTTTTTTTTATTAAGATTTTTTGATAAACATGGTATAGACAATTATTTATTACATGGATGTAAAATAAAACCAGATGAACATGTTCAAATAGGTGTAAGAGAACTATGAAAAAATTATTTTAATTAATTTCTATTTTTTTTTTTTTTCGTATTGAAGTATGATGAAAAAGAAGGTAGTGTTTATTGGTTACACAATCCTACTATGCCACCATTTGCATGTAAAGTTGAAGAGCCATCAAAAGGAACAAAACTAGCTGGAATAAAATCTTTTATGGAATATAAAATTCATGCACAAGTAAATAAAAAAACATTGAATTTTTTTGTTGATAAAAAAAAATAAATCTTCAATATTGATTTTCTTTTCTCTATATATTTAGATATCTGGAAGTCGAGTTGTTAGTCGACGTTATAAACAATTCGATTGGTTACATGAACAACTTGTTAATAAATTTCGTTTTATTTGTATTCCACCATTACCTGGAAAACAAATAGCTGGTAAAGAAAAATTTCATATGTGTTTTTTTTTTGTTTTGTAATTTCAATTAAAGATATTTTTCATTAAGGACGATTTGAACAAGAATTTGTTGAAGAACGTCGACGACAACTTGAAATATGGCTTAATCGTATTTGTCGTCATCCAGTACTTTGTGCTTCATTTCCTGTACAACATTTTATAACATGTGAACGTACTGAGGGAAATGATAAAGTAAGAAAAACAAAAAAAAAAAACACAAATTATTATCAATATAAAAATTTTGTATTTCAAGGATTGGAAAGCAGGAAAACGACGAAGTGAAAAAGATGAATTACGTGAATCATCATGGCTTCATTGTGTTACATTTACAAATTCAAATTTATCAGAAGCAGATCTGTATTAAAATCTACAATTTCCTTTTTTGTTATTCTTCCTTTGGGTTTTTGTTTCTTTAGTGTATCACATATTGAAGCATTTGCTCAACAACAACCAAATCTTGAAATACAAATAAAAAATCTTACTCAAGGTCTAGTAAAATATCTTGAAAGACATACAGAAATTTATGAACGTGATATTCAACGTATTGGTGAACTTTTTGCTAAATTTCAAAAAGTTCTACAAACAGATACAACTACATTTGGTAAATGTTTTTTTTTTTTGTTTTTATTTAATGAAAAATTTCTTTGATTCTTCATTTTATTTTCTTTAAGGTAATAAAGAACTTTCAGATTCAACGTTGAAAATTAGTACGGCATATAATTCAATAGCTGAATTATACAAAACAAAAGTAAGATAATGAATATAATTAACATATGGTTTTGCTTTCGAAAAGATAACAGATAGTTCAATTAATGAGAAAACTATCCCAAAGTATAATTCCACATTTGAACTCACAAGAAAGCCTTGGTACAACCAGAAAAATCCTAAAAAAGTTCGTGCTCATGTGCCGAAGTATCAAACGATGACGGGCAAAAATTTTCAATTTTTGAGGATTTTCAGCGGCTGTTGTTAAGTTTAAAATTGAAGTATTCTTTAAATTCTTGTGGTTAGAAATTCGATTAATGAAAAATAACGGATCGTATATGTATGGATGTCAGCGGCGGTAGCGGCTCAGCCGTACGGTTTACACCTCTAGTCATGATCGTTTCACTGAATTTTCGATAAATTCTTAGGTATTTACTGAACAATGAAAAAAAGACAGAATTTCAGTTTGTAATTTTGCTCATAGATAGCTCTAATGATCCTTGGAATATCTTAAAAGAATGTTCCTTTATCGAGATATTGAATTTCTAAGTAAACTCGATTTCTGTCACATGTCTGTAGCCGTGGGTGGACGGTATGAGTGTGAGCATTTTTCTCTTCATGTTGACATCCATTCTTAACTGCTGAAGGCGTCAAAAAATATTGACGTTTGGGCATGAACTATCAATCTAATAGAAGAAAAAATAATGTTTCAGTCTACCCAAACCTTGTGGTTCCAGCGCTAGAGATATCAGTTTCGAGGAACTGACACCTCTAATTTTCAATCCGAAAATTTGAAATTGAATTTTGAGATCGAGACCTAGCGCATTTGAAAGAGCGTTAGCAACAAACTTATTATCCATTGTTTTGTCTTAATAGAAAAACGTCAATTGCTTAAACAGGGAAGCATGCAATTAAAGACCTTGTCTGCAAGACCACGAGCAGTGCACTATAAAACTTCACTCTATCACCGTTTTCTTCCAGTGTGACTTATCGGACAAAAAATCATGAATTATAGATTTTGGCTTATGCTCTTTCAGATGCACTAGATCTCGATCTCAAAATTCGAGTTCAGATTTACCGATGTCAGTTTCCGATTCCGTACAGAAACCCAGGACGTATTTTATGTTCCTAGGAACCCATAGCAGCCTCCCATACCAAAAAAAGGCGTACAAGAATATCTAGATTGCTCAGTGCGTTCGAAAATCTATTTATAGTATTGTAAAATTTGTTCGTTTTCCTTGAAGAATGAACTCCAAGGAACACATACCTTTTTATAATTTATAAATTTATTTGTGTAATTATTGATTTAGGCTAGTGAAGGTATTCGAGATTTTAATGAACGTATTCAAGAATATATTGGTCTATTGGCTTGTTTTCCATTGATATTAAATATTCAACGAGTAAATAAATGAATTGAATTTGATGTTTTTTGATAATTGAAATTGATTATTTTAGAGTGGATCAGAATTTATGCGAAATTTACAACAACGTAGTCCATCAACAATATCAGATTTTAATAGTGTCGTAAATCGTAATCAAGTTCTTAATCATGTTGTTTTAGCTGAAATAAATTTTTTTCAAAAAGAAAAAGTTAAAGATTTAAATTTACATATGAAAACACTTATGAATGAACAAATTCAATTTTATGAAAAAGTAAATTTTATTTTATTATTTAATGTAATTGAAATTTATTTGTTTTTATTTTATAGATTACATCAGAATTACATGAAGCAGCAGTAACATTTAATTAAAACAAATGTAATACGCATGCACATTCTTTTAATTTTAATAATAATAAAAACTTTTATTTCTTTTTTTTTTTGTAATTTATTATTCTATTATGTGATTATATTAATGTTTGATTTATTATCGTTTTCTTTTTGTCTTTTTATTAAAAATGAAAACAAACAACATCTCTCTTTTCATTTGAATGAAACACGAAATGACTAATTAGATGTAACAGAACAAAAAAAAATCAAAACAAGAAGATTGTCATCAGATATTTTGAAAATCTATATTCACAGTAAAGACAAAAGACACAAAAATATAAGTACAAAA